CTTGGGGAATGGAGGGTATGTGTCACTAATTTGAAAAATCTAGATAGCTTGTGAATAAACATTTTTAAAGGCAGGACAAAAAAAACATTGAGTTGAAGGAGATTTTTCAATTTCAGATTCTATAGCGCTTCCAAATGGAGGGGAAGTGTCAAAGATTTATTGTTTTTCCTATCAGAAGAGAGTGTCCTCCAAAAAAGATTAAGAATTGGAATAGTTCATGAAAATAATCTGAAGGACGTCATAATAAATCTGGGACGTGATTTCCTGTGTTTAGCTGGCGGTCCGGAAGACCTCGCTGCCATAGAAATGAATGCCATGTCTAACTCTTTATCTGGCTTTCAGAGTCCATTTATGCAACCCACTCGCTCCTCTTCAATTCACTCTTAACTAAACCAGATTATTCATAAGGCAGCTTATAGTTGTTGATCTTTCATGTGGTTGATCCTACCATCCACAATTATTTTTGGATGCTATCATCTTCTAATTTTATTTTATTCACATGCAGCCTGTATTCTCACTGGAGCTGAGGGTTTGCTATTTAAATCTACCATTTAATTACTTCTCTTCCGCCCTGGCCAGTGAGGTTCAGTTGGTTAGAGCATCGTCCAGTGCACCAAAGGGTTAGGGTTCAATCCCCAGTCAGGGCGCATACAGCAGGCAACTGATTGATGTTTCTCTCTCACATCAATATTTCTCTCTCTCTCTCTATCTCCCTTCATCTCTCTAGACTCAATTAAAACAACAACAACATGCCCTTGGGTGAGGATTGAATTACTTGGGAGCTATTAAACATCTTTAAAATAATGATAATAATAACAATAATAACCTTCTTCTGGTGACTATGTCAACTACAATGGCAAGCTCATTCACGTTCTTGAGAAGTGTACATTCTGGGAAATAATTACATAAAAGTGATACACAGCACACAAACAATTTAAGGCAGGGTGTGGCACAACAAATTAGAGGAATTCTGCAGAGGATTCCTGCCATCCAGGAAATGAAGGAAATGAGTTGCAAGATGGGAAGGGTATGCTAAGTAAGAAGAACCATGTGAGCAAAGACAGGGAGGGAGAAAAGCACAGAATGCATTTGGAGTAGGCGGTGTGCCATCACTTAAGTTTTGGGGCTGAGCAAGGTGCATGCTCTCCTGCACATCCCCTACTGGGGATCGAGCCCACTACCTGGGCATGTGCCCTGACCAGGAATGAAACTATGACCTCCTGGTTCATACGTTGACGCTCAATCATTGAGCCACACTGGCTGGATTTAAGTGACTTTCAAAGTCACATGGCCTCTAAGGGGTTTTGCTAAGATATGCTAAGAAATTGTGGCTTAGCATCATTCATCACTCATCTCCAGCCCATAAGGGGTGGGGGTAGGGTAAGGGACTGATGACTCATGAAGAGTATTGCTTTGGAGATATCTGACACCTACCTACGCCTCCGATGGGGAAGAAGAGATGCTTACTTGCTTACTTCAAGCTATGGTGAGAGGAGCTTTCAGGGAAACACTTGGAGAACTTGACACAAGGGAATACAGGGACCTGAGGAAACCAAAGGCAAACCAAAGAGACACAGAGAGAGACACTGGACACAAGTTGCATTTTTACCAACTGCAGATACATAAATTGTTCCCTGGGGAAAATGTACTGATGTTGACAATTAATTTTGTTATGCACCAAAAATAAGATGGATTAACGGGTTGATAGAGGGATGGATGGATGGATAGATATGGGATAAATCAAGTGTAGTAAGATGTTCCCAAGGATGGTAGGAGAGAGCTCTTTCTGAAGTCATTTAAAAAGGGAGCCTAGCTAAGAAAACAGCTTGAACCCTCAGAAGATCAAGGGCTGAGGTCTAGGGTCATATGTGGTTCCCGGAAGTGACTTCACACTTGGGATGCATCTAAGACACCTTCCCATCAAAACCCAGAGGTGGAAGAATCTAAAAGCTTAATCAGTGAGTAGTGAAGGTGGATGAGGTGGAGATGAAAAAGGAAGAAAGCAAAAATAAATGTGGCTTCCGCCATGTCCCCCTACTGCAGCCTTCGGGCCTGAAGCAAAACTGAACTTGGGAAAAGGACAAGCTTTAAATTGGAATGACGTTTGCATGACTTTCATGAGATTTCATCCAGGCTAGTAAAAGAAGTAGCCTTCAGAGTTTTTGGAGAGACAGTGGAGTAAAATATACAATAATTTTGTTCTCGCTTCCTACTCAATCCTGCTCATTCAATCACATGCACAAGCCTAACAAAACCCAACCCTGCATGAAAGAATCCCGATTTAATATCATATCACACGTTCATTTATTCAACAAATATTTATTGAGCACTTGCTATGTGCCAGGCACTAGCATAGGTAGTAAGGATACAATACTGAATTAGATAAACATGTGAAATAAGTAGCGAAGTTTTAAAAGCCACCGGGGTAATTCTATATCTTGATAGAGATTTGGGTTACATAGGTTCATGCATTTGTTAAAACCAGAGTTCAATATTTATTTACAGTTTTTTTCTTTTGATGCAAAATTTACATATAATGACATGCACAAGTCTTAAATATGTATTTGCTGAATTTTGACAAACATATGATCATCACAACTCTGTCTCCCTCCATTGTCAGGAGATAACCTTGCCTTCTGCTTCACTGAGAAAACAGAAGCCATTAGGCCTTTCCTCAACTTATAAATGTGTTTGCAGCCGTATCTGTTCTTTCTGCCTTCCCTTCTAATACTGGGGACAACATGCTCTACTCCCACCTGAGGCCGATTTCTGCCTCTGAGTTTTATATCCTATCCCTTTAACCTGCTCAGAGAGCCTGCTTTTTGGATTACCCCTCACCTTGAACTCTCATGTCAAGGAATGTGCTTCGTTCTTACCTCAGAGTCCTCACGCATGCCATTTCCTTTGTTTGGAGTCACTTTCCTACTTCTTCTGCACATATTATCATTCCTATGCACCCTTCAGGCCTTTGCTTAGATGCTGTTTACTTAGATATGACTTCGCTGATCTTCTATCTCACAATATGGTAAAACCTATTGAACTTTCTTTTTCATGACACTCAGCTCGCCTGTAGTTTCTTGTTCTATGTATGACTTGCTCACAAGACAAACATGTTCTCTGCACTCACAGTGCCTTCTTAACTGCTATAACTCCAGGCCTAGCATAGCACCTGGCACATTAAATATTTGTTGCTGAATGAAATAATTAAATGCTTGTAAATGTCTTCTTTTTCTTCATGTAATTTAATTTTTTAATTGTAATAGCTATTTCAGTCTTTTCCAGGATTATGTTAAAAAAGGAGGACACTGTAACATTTTATTCTTATAATTTCTTATAATTCTGTTCTTAAATTTTAAATAAATGTCCTGTACATAGGAGATTCTCAACAAGAGAATAAAAATCTTATGCTATGGAAAGTTCCTTAGAGATCCTATATTTCAATTTCCTCAGGAAGAAAACCTAAGTACTGTGCTATTTTTATGACTGAATTATTATTGCATTCTTATTATCTTTTTACTCAGGTGGGGGTATCTTATGGCTAGAAACCACTAGTGGGGAGACATTCTAAAAATTCAGAGTTCTTTCTGACTGAAAATTGTGAGGGAGGATGATCATCTGTTAGTTTACATAACTACATCTTATAAATAGCTTAGTTTTCCTGAGCAAACCTAAGTTCATTCCATATTCATTGATGACACGAGGGACCTAACATTACATGAACTGCTCATGTGTGTAACAGTCATGCATGCATGTGCCATTTAAACACATAAATATGTATACACACATACATGGATAATTTGAAGAGGCATAAGAGTTAATAAAACTAAGAAAGGAGAGAGAGAGACCTCCTTACAAAGGGTTTTACTGCCAGCCTTGATTTAAGTCTTTTTCTAATAATTTTTTTTAAATTGATTTTTAGAGAGAGAGGAGGGGAACCGACAACCTATCAAAAGGATGCACCAGATGACACCCGACCAACTGAGCCACACTGGCCAGGGCGTTGGTGTAACTCTTTTTAACTCAATATAGCATCTGTCACCAGGTCAAAATACATGATCAGCTGAAGTACAGTTAGGGGCTTCACAGACCAGCCTCTTCATGGAGTCCTATCCAAATAAAACCAGACTAACAACCTAGACTAGCTGAAAAGGCAATTCAGGTCTCTACCCATGTTCCCCGAAGCATGACACAGCAAACTTCCTAAAAACTCTCTCTTCCAGCTCAAATCTCCACATCCATCAGTCCCGCAAACAGGAGTAACCGCTGCTCTCTTCTTTCATTTCTGTATAATTTAGCTTATGTAGCTGTTTATTTTTCTTCCTCACCCTGGAGCTGACCGGCAAGCAAGAACTCTTCTGGGAAGGGGTGTTTGCTGGACGGTGCGCCTGGGGAGATGCCCAGGGGGAGTCTGCCAGGCTCAAGTGTCCAGTTTCAAGGCAGTCTCTTCCCCAAGGAGCTAATGAGCTGGAGATGAAAGGAACAAACGATCAATAAGTGCAGTGGAAACAGTAACATCCCAGAGGATACATAATTACCTGTTGGGCGATATGTTCTACGGTATTTCCCTTTACAGTCATGACTCCCAAAGTTTAGCTGGTAACATAGGAAAGGATCATATGTCCAGCGAGCAGATCAAAAACTCTAACAACTTCCCTAAGAGGTGGTCTGGGTTAATGACGTGGTCTCTGGGGTCCCTGAAGACTTGTCCTGAGTCCCAAGTGGCCCCTACGCCTCCAGTTTAACAGTCCAGAGGGGCAGTTATGTCCAATACGAAGCGCAGAGGGGCTGGGCACCTGTTCCTAGGACCGCCGCCAGGACAGCCTGCAGGTGAGCCAGCGGGTTTCCCGCACGCTCCAGGCGGCGCCCTGGCCCCGCCCACTGCCCCTCTCGGCCCCGCCCCCGCCCCCGCCCCGCCCTCCCGCGCGCCGCCATTTCCGACAACGCTTCGGCTTATTTCGGCTCGCCTCGGCTTCCGTCCCAGATGATCCCTCCCCGAAGGTGCCACCGCCTCCTCCACCTCCCGAAGCTGGGTCCACCTCCGCCGCCTGTGGCGTAGCCGGACTGTGCGTCGGGGCCAGCCAGAGAGGGGCGGAGGTCCGGAGCCCGGTCTAAGCCCGAGCGGGGGGCCATGGAGAAAGCGGCCCGAGGCGCTCTCCACACCGATTAAGCGGGCCCGTTGCGGCTGCAGGCGCCATGGACCGAGCCCCAGCAGAGCAGGTACGCGGGCTGGGTCTGGGCCAGCCGGGCCGGGGGGCTGGGTGGCCGCCTCCTCCCGGCGGGCCCCGGGCTCCGAGCCTGGGCCCTGACGGCCGGAGACCCCGGGTTCCCGGGGCGCGGATCCCCTGGCGCGGGAGCCCCGCTCCGCTGCATTGTTCCCGATGCTGCCTCGGGCAGGGGCACTTCTTGAGCCTTGTTTACCGTCCGCCGCCCCGGCTGGGGCTTCGCTTGTGCCCCTCCTCCCCGGCTGGGGACAGGGGCCAGAGGACTCCAAGGCGTCGTGCTTCCCGGGTGGAGGGCTTGTAACTTCCACCGCATCTGCCCCCCGCTCCCCTCCCGTCAGCTCTGGAATGTGTTTTCAAGGTGGAAAGGCTTGGGAGGGCTCCTCACCCAGAGAGGCTGTCAAGAGCGAGTGATGGCTGCGGGGGGGGGGGGGGGGGCAGGTAGGGGCTTTTTTAGATCTGCGTTCCCTCGAGCGGAGCAGGTTTCTACGGTGGCTTAAGGGAGGGGTTCCCTTTAAGATATGAACTACGATGGCTTCCCCTTGCCCTTCTACCTCATTATTTTGCAAAAATTAGTGTTTTGTTTTGTTTTTTTAAAAAATCAAGCTTATATCTTAAGGGTATAGGACCCGAAGCATGCATTCATGGAAGCGATCCACAAAGAAGTCCCATAGTGTCTGTCTTGTTTTTTAATTGCACCAAGTTCTTGATTATCCTTGCAAAGTAGGTGCTAGGAGGCAGGGATTTTTACGTTGTCATCACAACTAAAAATAATGTGTGTGTGTTTGTGTATAATAATGTTTTACCCCCCCCCCCAAAAAAAAAAGTTTCAGTATTTCCCAGTCTTGAGACCTCTATGAAATGACGGAAATTTGATGAAGTCAAAGTTTATTCACCCTCTATTCCCCTCTTCAATCACAGGCCTTGCCCAGTGATGAACTAGTCTAACAGATGAAGCAAAAGGAGAGATTAGTGATTTGCCTAATTATTTTACAAGTGGATGATTAACACCTTAATAAATGAGACAGGATTTCCTAAACTCCTCTGTATAATTGATTGTATGTTGCTAGCCAAAGCCGGTTTTGATTTAGGAATTGGGCTCTTTCAGCAGGCAGAGCAGTTTCCTAGTTGTGTATATTTGTTTCTAGAAAAGCTTTAGTTATTTTTTTTTAAAAAAAGCTTTCTGTGACTATGACTCTGAAGACACAAATGTGTTTATGAAACAATACGTGGGTTTACCAAAGCAAAATTGATTGGAGCGTCTTGGCAAATACATATGGGCTTTCCCTTCACCCAGAGTATTCTATAGAAGGCCTATATCCAGTTTAGTGAAAAACAAGATTTTAAGGCATCTATTAAAAATGCCTGAGATTTCAAAGCCTGACAAATTAATAGGAAATTTTCTTGTATGCGTGTCACTAATGAAAGGGTTAAACATTGTGGTCCTCTACCATGATGCCAGAACTATTACCAGAATGCTGCCACATGTATACTTAGGGTTCCTTTCATCCTAGAGGAGATGTAATTAACTATTTAGATGATCACTTGTGTGTGATTATCTTAACAGCAAGTGCTGTGAGCAAATTATTTGAACTAGAGAGCCTCTTCCTCTTTCATCCTACATTTTTTTCAAAGTGCACAACCTATTTAAAATTTCGTAGAAATTTAAGAAATGGAAGAAAACATTTTTTTCCCATTCTTTTTCCTCCAGTGCCTCCTGCCTCTTCCCCAGCCTGATCCTAAGTAAGAGAAAAATTTCAACCACTCCCTTGTAATTACCCCCACACATGGAAACCAAGATCCAAAAAAGTGGTGCTGTTTTCCCTAGTTCATGCTGTAGGCGGTTGATTCAGGGGTCCCTGGATGGCAGGTGCTTCATTTTATATTAGCATATTTCTGGGGTAAGATTCCATTATTTTCAAAGGGGTCCATCATTGAAAAAAAGCTGCCATTAACTTAATGGTAAATTGGGTCTAGAACAGATTTCTCAACTTTGTGGAGTTCTTGATTGTTTGTACTATACCAGAGTAATGCAAAGGCTTTTCTAGGTTATTAGGAATATATTTTTATATTTTTACTAACGAAGTGAATTTAGATAGGTGAAAATTATGAAAAATATATGCGATAATGTGCTGAATTTCCATTTTTCCTCACAAAATGATTTTGTGTTCTTTGTTTTTTTTTTTCTTTTAAACCAGTGTTAGTTTATATTCAGAATTTCTGGGAATGCTTACAGCATTTATAACTTATTATAATATTGGAGTGGTTAGCAATTAATAGAAGGTAAATTTTCTTTTAAAGTACTTAATATAAACTTTCTGCATTTCATCTTAACCTAATTGAAATCCCTGGAGTATTACCCAGTGTAACTTTTAAAAATATATCTTTGATTAAAAAGATAAATTGTATATATTTGGTCAAGATTATAAGAATTTGATCAAGATTATAAAAAGTTATTAGGAATATGTGCTAGATAATAGTCTTAATTGCAATAATGACTATATGAAAGAATCTTATAACCAGAAGAGAATTTCAGGAATATTATCTTTTAGCAAGACTATTTTAAATCAAAGCAAGTAGCTTAATTTTAACTGCCAGATTTAGATGTTCTAAGAACAGATATGGCTTGATATAATGCATTTTTTTATCCTTAAAAAAACAAAAAGAAAAGCTAGTATAAAGGGATGTGAAGAATAAATCATGAAGTTTATTTTATTTATAAAGGCTTTAGTGTTTCTATTTTTAGAAAATTTAGAACAATGTTTTGAGATTTACAAAAATAAACAATGGCCTTAGAAGTGACAGCACACTTGAGGTTTACAGTCTCCTTTGAATTGTTAAATAATTTAAATATTGGCTTAAATTTTTAGTATATTAACATTAGATAGGGGATTTTTTTGTTTGTTTTATAAGAATTGACAGTGTTCTTGATCACTATTGTCTTTAATTCTTAGAAAAGCAAATGTGTAACAAATAGACATGACTTCATACAAAGTGCTGTTCACCAGTATACATACAAAATTATCTGGCTTATAATTCTTTCCTTTAAATAATGTATAAACTTCAAATAATATCAACACTGCAATTAAACATATTTTAAGTAAATTACTATAAAATGTAGCCGAAACCGGTTTGGCTCAGTAGATAGAGCGTCGGCCTGCGGACTGAAAGGTCCCAGGTTCGATTCCGGTCAAGGGCATGTACCTGGGTTGCGGGCACATCCCCAGTAGGAGATGTGCAGGAGGCGGCTGATCGTTGTTTCTCTCCCATCGATGTTTCTGACTCTCTATCTCTCTCCCTTCCTCTCTGTAAAAAATCAATAGAATATGTTAAATAAATAAATAAATAAAATGTAATACATAATATTTATAGTTTGCCTTTATGAATATAAGCTAGTAATCTGTTTTAACAGTTTTTTAAAATAAAAAAAATAAAAGTAAATAATGCTCATTTAGTGAAAATGCCATTTGGAAATTTTAAAAGACAGCCTATTTAATAAAAGGCTAATATGCAAATTGACTGAATGCCTAATGACCAGTTGTTATGACGCACACTGACCACCAGGGGGGCAGACACTCAACGCAGGAGCTTCCCCCTGGTAGTCAGTGTGCTCAGCCAGAAGCCGGGCTCACAGCTGGCGAGTGCAGCGGTAGTGGTGGGAGCCTCTCCTGCCTCCACGGCAGCACTAAGGATGTCTGACTGCCAGCTTAGGCCTGCTCCTCATGAGTTAGACATCCCCCAAGGGCTCTCAGACTGTGAGAGGGCACAGGCCGGGCTGAGAGGCACCCCCCCACTCCCCCCCCGCCCCCCCCCCCCCGCACAAATTTTGTGCACCAAGCCTCTAATTTCTCATAAGCTCTTAAATCGAAGAGGAAGTAAAATAGAATTTTATGTTACTGAAAAAGTAATAACATGCTGTAGTGAAAACCTATGAATGTGTCTGAGGCAAATATATAGTATAAATACTTTCATTGTTAAACATTTTAAAAGGAAAATAAAAATTAAGCATCCAAGGCAAGGAGTTAGGAGAGAAAAACCCACAAAAGCAAGGGAGAAAATGTAAAAACATGAATAAAATAGATAATCCAAAAACTAGTATTAAATTTAGAAAACTAGTTTTTAGAAAAGCACTATCAGATTTTAACAGGATTAGATGCAGTCTGTTTTAAGAAAAGGGGGAAATAGCTGGATAGCAAAGCAAATGGGCAGTGTGAGTTAAATACTTTGATTTTTTTTTTTTTTTATGTATAACTACTGCAGTTTATTTTGGCAAGTGGTTTACTTTCATTGTAAGCCATTCCAATCAGAAAACAATACAGCTAGCAGGTATCCCTTAAGCATTAAAATGTTTTTCATTTAGAAGACATTTATTTTATCTTTTGCCATAACATATAAAATATCTTAATATTTGATATATCAGATTTCTACCTTAACACAGTAAGAATGTGGAGGCTTTCCATGATCATATTTTTTTCTGTAGGTGTGTGGCACATACTGAAATTTCACTGTGGGAGAGTGCCTTACTGTGTTCCAGTTCAGTCTTGATATTAAGTGGGTGACATTTTTCTGTTGCTTAATCTGGGAAAATTATTCGCACTCTTCTGGAAGTTCTATTTTGGAGGGGTTTAATGTACATTTCCTGCTGATGTGTGCTTAGTAATAATGTTTGCCCATTTTCCCTAAACCTGTCTATACTGTGCCCTTTCCTGAATATGTGCTCAATGCATATTTATTGAATTATGAAGACTTTTAGTGATACGAATGCATTTGTTTAATAAAAACCTCATTTTAAAGAGCGCTTAATGAGGTTTTTCTAGTTTGATGTTTTGAGAAATTCTTGGGTTTTCTAGATTACTCACATTAATGAGATTTTATTATTGACATTTGTTTTAATATATGTAGATTTTAAAATTAATGTGGAACTGTTTTTTCCCAATACATGTTTTTGGGATTATTATGATTTTTCCTTAGTTTGGAAAATTCTGAAATAATTTCTAAAAGAGAAAGGTAATTTTATTATCTAGTGTTGTATTTTTAAGCAAATAATACAGGAATTTGTTCTTTGTAGTTAGACTTATACCATACTTATATTTTCTTTACTTTAAGGAGACAACTCTTTACTATAAAATTTCTGATTTCTAAAAAATAGATTTTGGCAAAGGTAGAGAGAGTAAAACCAAAATTCAAACGGAAGAATATTACATGAAGTAACTATTCTAATTTTCTCAAAATGTTTTTGTTCTCCACTGTGGTAAGACATTTTTCTTTAATTTCTATACTGTTATAATTGAAATATTGCCAGAATCTGTTGCTTACTTAATGTATTATCTATACAGGGTTTATTATATGGAATTTTAAGAATAGTTCACTATCTTAACATTGCATTTCAGGTCTGAAAACAGCAGATGCTGCATTTTGATGTATTATAATGAAGGCCCCAATGTCACAATAAACAACTTTTAAAAACATACAGAATTGTAACTACAGGGGAAAGTTAGCCAGTCTGTTCCTACTAGTGACATCTTCTGTTTGTACAGCTGTTGACTACAGCAGATTCTCTTTTTTGCTGAACACAAAGGATCATTTTAGTGTTTGTGAATTGTATTGTTGAACTCTGATATCTAGAATTGCACTTAGAAACCAGTACAAACTTTAATGTTTAAGGGTATATGGGGGGGGGGGGGGCGCAAAAGTAGGTTTACTGTTGTGAGTACTCGAAACACAGAGCTTATTTTTCTATTATTTATATTATTAATTATTGTATTATTTATTATTAACCTATTTTTGCCCACTCCTGTGTACTGTGTATGTGAAGACATTAGTTATAATTCATGCATGACACCTTTTAAACAGCGACTTCACTAAATTCATGAGACCCTTAGATAAAAGTATAGATGAAACTAGTATAAAAAACTTGCAACTTTTTACTTGAGCAAGAATTTGAATTTGTTGTTACAAAAGTAATTTATGACATTATTATTTTAGGGGGGGGTGTCCAGAAAAATGTTCTTAAAAATTTTTTTTTTATTTCTTTAAAATTATATTAACAGCACTCCTTTCTTCATGTTAGACTGAGAATTTGATGTAATCATATTCCTTGTTTTAAAACAAATCCTAATGTCTTCTCATCCAGATTTATAAAACTTTTCAGAAAATTCATATAAGTTCAGAAGGACTTTTTGATTTTTAAAAATACTAAAAGTTATTTTTTAGTATAGTTTAAATGTGATTTATTTGCCTTCTTATGCATATGTATAAACTATATAAAGCAAGCTTCCATTATCTGTGTATTATTGTTGGAACTCAGCTTTTTTTCCATAATTAGGGAAACATTTATTAGGTTGATTATTTTATGCTTTATATAAATAAGTTTGAAGTTCTAGTGACTGCTACAGTGAATAGAACTGGCTTATTTTATTAGCATTTGAAGGGGTTTTTACCTCCTGTGTTAAAATTCAAGAAACTGAGTTTAGTTCTCAGATATTTGTAAGTTCAATGACCTATCTACTTCAGATTTGGTTAGTGGTATAAAAGTAGACTTCAAAGTTAAATCAGATTTGAGGAAGGATATTGAATTAATACTGCTATATAGTTCAGATTATCTTCTTTCTCCTTTTTAAAAAGTACTTCTGAATTTCCAGTGGAATCTTTTTAGAGAAATTTTTTTTCTGAATAAGGCTATATATTGAGCATATTAAGTCTTATCTTTAGTGTTTCTTGGATTTGTTACTGATTACTTTTCTGAGAAACAGGCCTGAAATTTATTCTGAGAACTCTGCCTTGGTGAGAGCTTCTAATAAATGCTATCCTAGTGTGTTTGTTGGGGAAAAATTCTGGTTAAGATTGTTGATTTGAGGTGATTGATTTAAGTGGTTGAAATATTGGACTGCAGCTGAAGCCGGTTTGGCTCAGTGGATAGAGCGTCAGCCTGCGGACTGAAGGGTCCCAGGTTCGATTCCGGTCAAGGGCATGTACCTTGGTTGCGGGCACATCCCCGGTGGGAGGTGTGCAGGAGGCAGCTGATCGATGTTTCTCTCTCATCGATGTTTCTAACTCTCTATCTCTCTCCCTTCCTCTCTGTAAAAAATCAATAAAATATATATATATATAAAAAAAAAAAAAGAAAAGAAATACTGGACTGCATTTCACTTACTGGTTTATATTTATGTGGTTTTTTTACATTCTGCTTTTGCAGAATGTGCCTATAGGTTTTTTCTTTTATAATTAAATTTTTAAAATTTGTTGTTAAATATGACAGATGCAAAAAGAAAACTGCCTAACACCAGTGTACAGCTAAATGAATTATATAAGGTGAATACCTTCTAAGTATCACCCAAATTAGGACACAGAAGGTTGCCAGGCACCCCAGAATTTCTTCCCAATCACAGCTCCTCCTTTTCTAACAGTAATTCCTATTCTGACTTTTATGGATCGTACTTACTTTTCTTTATAGTAAATAAATGTCACCCATATGTGCATTCTTAAATACTTTAGTTTTTAAAGTGTCTTTTGAATCTCTAGATTTATTATAAGAAAAGATATAAAATAAACTAAAATGGAGTATATATTCTGAATTACTTTAGTTTTTTCAGCTTATCTTCTGGGAAACTGAAGTACTTATTTTTTCCCCAGTTTAAGTGTGAACCAGAAGTTTTCTCCCCCTTATATATGTATATTTTAAATTCATCTTAGACATTTTCCTTCCATGCTAATCTAATTTCCTGAAAAGGACAGAAATAGACTATTTAAACAAATATAATTATCCTTCAGAATGCTGCTTAATGATCCCCCCCCCCCCCAACAAAATTAGTTGAAAACACATTGTTATGGAAAAGAAAACCCAAACAAAACAAAACACATTGTTAGTCTGCAGAGCTAGATTTCTTACTACCAACCTTATTTGGGGACTCGGAGGTTTGACTGACTTCCTTCTACTCTTGATTGTTAAGACATGATTTCATAGGAATGTAGTAACCTTTGATAAGTTTTCCCCAGTTTCATTTAATGACTTTTTCTGTATAACTTAATCATATTTAATTATTTTAATTTGGCATTGTGTTCCTTTGGATGTTTTGTGAATAATGAAAAGAGACCTAATTACTGTTTGTAAAAACTGACTTGTTAAATTGTGAATTAGTATTACTTAAATTTTTTGTTCATTTGTTAATAATGTGTTTCACTTTCTCTTTGAAGAATGTCAAGCTGTCAGCTGAGGTAGAGCCATTTATTCCCCAGAAGAAGAATCCTGAAACATTTATGATCCCTATGGCACTCCCAAATGAGAATGGAAATGTTTCTGGTATAGAACCAACTCCAATTCCCAGCTACTTGATTACTTGTTATCCATTTGTGCAGGAAAACCAATCCAATAGGTAATTTGTTTATTATTTTCTTTTTTAGTTGGGGTGGGGAAGAGAGGGGTAGAAAACATAGAAGTTGACAAAGCACACCACTTAATTTTTTCCTTTTATAACTTGTAAACATGAATCATTTTTCTATTCATTAAGAGGAGTAAATAAAGCCAAGTGATGTAGAAATTTGAAAACTATTAACATGGATTATTTTCTCATTCTTTCTAAAAGGTTATGGAGTTCTTTGGATATATTTTCTATAATAAGTAAAATTTGTCTGAAGTAAATTGACTTAAAGGGAAGAATGAATTACTCAGAAAGAGATAAGCAGAAACCCTTTTTTGAGATTAGGTATCTAATCATAATTGCCAAGATAATCTGGCATAAGAAGAAAACATCAAGGGATAGTCCTTAACTTTCATGCTTTTATGGTTAGTTAGCACATAACTCTAGATCTAGACTCTGATTCTAGTTCCAAATTTAGCTTCAGTGCTATAGCCTACAGCAGTGGTTCTCAACCTTCCTAATGCCACGACCCTTTAATATAGTTCCTCGTGTTGTGGTGACCCCCAATTTCATTGTTACAAATTGAACATAATTAAAGCATAGTTGATTAATCACAAAAACAATATGTAATTATATATGTGTTTTCCGATGGTCTTAGGTGACCCCTGTGAAAGGGTCATTCGACCCCCAAAGGGGTCGGGACCCACAGGTTGAGAACCGCTGGTCTACAGGATGATTTAACAAATTGCTTGCAATTCAGATAATGTGTAACCTAGTAACCACTAGGTTTCTAACTGCTTATGTTTTCTGGATGATTAGCACTTCATTGGTGTAGTTTATTTTATTGCTGTGTAAAAGTAATTTTAGATTTTTTTCAAGTTATATCACACACAGAAAATTGTACTTCTCTAGCATTGTGGGATAAATGGATGAGGTAGCTAGGCTCTAGACCAGCTGTGGGCAAACTACGGCCCGCGGGCCGAATCCTGCCAGTTTGAAATGAATAAAACTAAAAAAAAAAAAAAAGACCGTACCCTTTTTTGTAATGATGTTTACTTTGAATTTATATTAGTTCACACAAACACTCCATCCATGCTTTTGTTCCGGCCCTCCGGTCCAGTTTAAGAACCCATTGTGGCCCTCAAGTCAAAAAGTTTGCCCACCCCTGCTCTAGACTCTGCCCAGCCACCCCTGAAGGCTAAGGCAGTCAATATTTCTACACATCTATAATCCGTTGTGACACACTAGTGTACCAAGGCACATTCTTTGAGAAATTATGGATATTTGAGATATGAGATCACTAAACAACTTTCTCAAGTTAAATATTCAAGTTAATAATCTGAAACTCTTAATAGTTTAGGGGATTGGACAAATAGTAGAAACTAAGGGATCCTTCTCAAATAAGTTAGCATTATACTTAAAAAATCTTTGACCTATATGGACTATGTCCATAGTGATTTGTAAACTAAAATTAATAATAGTATTTTTTGTATTTAACAAAATGATCAAGTGTATAGTATGGCAAATTTAATTTTTCTTACCTTACCAAATAATTTTTTTGTTGTTCTTTTTAAATTTATTTTTGTTTGTTAATCCTCACCTGAGTCTATTTTTCCATTGATTTTAGGGAGAGTGTAAGGGAGAAGGAGAGAGACAGGGAGAGAAACATCAATGTGTCTGTACACATCGTTTGGTTGCTTCCATTACAGCCTGACCAGGGCCGGCAGGGGTCAAGCCTGCAACTGAGGAACGTGCCCTTGACCAAAATCAAACCCGGGACCCTTCAGTCCACAGGCCGATTCTTTATCCACTGAGCCAAACTGGCTAGAGCACCAAATAATCTTTTGAGAATTCATGAGTAAGCCAGTTAGCAGATTATGTAAAAATATTTTCAGAATTATGGCAGTGAACATTTTTGCATTTTGCTCTGTCATAGGAGTAGTGAGGAAGAGCTCTATGATCCAGCTCTCCTTGACCCCTCATTCGTCAGCAACAACCTTCTGTGAGAAGGACTGCTGAGACAAGAAAAATCTTGCTGGTGCTTTATAGGAACTGCACTAGAAAAAGCTCTAATACTAGGAATAGTAGATGGCAGTGGACAGGCTTGCCTTTTCTTCTCTTCTTTCCCTTGGATCTGAAGCCTGCTTCCATTGCCAAGAAGGGAAGCCAGGAAAAGAGCTGGACTTGGCCAAGTATTTAAGGGAGTATGGGAGAGGAGTAGGAGGCGCTTGGGTCTGAGCTAAAGAATGAGATGTGGAGGAATCAAATCACCTATTATAGTGATCATTTTACACAATGATCACCTTACGCTGGTCTTTGCAGAAGGCTATCACAGTTATTAGCATTGGGTGGGAACATAGGACTGCTGGCAGATCCAGCAGCTAGGTGTTTAACTTTTAGGCAGAAATATCATGAGGATGTTAAGGAGAGAGTTACAAATAAGAATATGTATTTTTAAAATATTGGAAATCAATAAAACTACAACTATCAGTTTTAATTCCTTTATACTGTCATTTAAATTGTTATATATACACTAGAGGCCTGTTGCACGAAAAGATTCGTGCAATAGGCCTTCCCTTCCCCTGGCTGCTGGCACCGGTTTTCCTCCAGCACCCGGGACCCAGGCCTTTGCTCCGGCCGGAGGCGCCTCCAAGCCTCTCGTGGCTCTGGTGGCCGGAGCCACCTTCAGTCTTCACCACTTCGCATCTACGTATGCAAATTAACCGCCATCTTTGTTGGCGGTTAATTTGCATATCTTGATGATTAGCCAATGGGAGGCGTAGCGAAGGTACAATTTCAATCTTTGTCTATTATTAGATAGGATAATTTCTATAGCAAAGAAACATATAAGATAATTTTATCTAATTTTTCAGAATTATGGTGAAGCCACTATTCTGTTCTGTGTTTTCTTTTATTAAAATGAGTTGAGATTTTACTTTAACATTACTTTTATAATTGTCAATAGCTTTGTTCTGTTTTTGTTTTTACAGACAGTTTCCATTATATAACAATGATATACGATGGCAACAGCCCAGTCCAAACCCTGCTGGACCATACCTTGCCTACCCCATTATACCTGCTCAGCCACCTGTTTCTACAGAGTATACATATTATCAGCTGATGCCAGCACCATGTGCCCAAGTTATGGGTTTTTATCATCCTTTTCCTACACCTTACTCCAACACCTTTCAGACTGCAAATACTGTAAATACTATAACCACAGAATGCACTGAACGTCCAAATCAACTTGGACAAGTCTTCCCGTTGTCCAGTCATAGAAGCAGAAACAGTAACAGAGGACCAATGGTACCAAAAGTAAGTGACTGATTTTGATTGGCTTTTATGTTTGATATTTCTATTGTTAATAATAGAGTAAGTAATCTGCCACTTGTATTGATTAGCTTTACATGCTGAATTTACTACAAAACATTTTGTTCACTATCTATATATACAAAAGCCTAAGTGATCGGCCAACTATTCGGCTGTCTGGCTGTCCGACCGGTAGCTATGACGTGCACTGACCACCAGGGGGCAGATGCTCAACACAGGAGCTGCTGAGCTGCGGTGACTTGGCAGCTGCGGTTCTCGGGTGACGCACACAGAACCAGAGAGGAAGGAGTCTTATTCCAGGGTGTGTCACCCGAGAACTGCTCTCTCACAATCTGGGACCCTTTGAGGGATGTCGGCGAGCCAGTTTCGGCCTGATGGCTAGGCTGAGGGATCCCACTGGTGCATGAATCCATGCACCAGGCCTCTAGTCATAAAATAAAGGGTTATAGTATTTATAAAATAATTCTGTTTTTTATTGTTTTTCATTTTTAATTGGTGATTATTTATATTTGTCTTCAAGTTCCTTCAAAGAGTTTTACATAAACAAAATGCACAAATATTTCCAAATTAGTTTAATTTAGTGATAAAAATCGCATAGTGACACAGTATTTATAAGTGGTTAGTTTGGATCCCATTCTAGGGTGTTGAATGGCTCATGCCCTTCAGGATATTTCAGTCTTCAAAAATCAGCAGGAAATATGGTAAAGAACATTTGTGGTTCATTAAATCCCTTCAACTTCATTGTTTCTGTCTTGTGAATTTTTAGGAGGAATGCCACTTTGTTATTCAGAAGGTTACTTTTCTATTGAAGCCTTAGTATCAAAACAAATAAAAATATTTTTTCTTCTCAGCACTTTTGAACTAATGGGAGGCAGAGTGACTTATTTCTTAGATGTATCTTATATCTGTATCAAGGAGTTGGTGCTTTGCTAGATCCCATTAGCCAACCTTCATTGAAAAGTCTTTTCTGTCTTTGGCATACCTTTTACAAATTAAAATACAAACCAGCAGCACAAGTTGTTTTATTAATTATTGATTGAGAAAATTAAGAATGCAAGTAACAATTAAAATGAATTTATTTTTTTATTTATAGTAGAGTTAATGGTTATTTGAAAAATAGTGTTTAAATGTGTCTACAATACCTATTTAGCCTATTATGATTGGCTGCAGATAATATCATGAAATCCTAACAAAGAAGTCCTGTTTCCCCTTGAGTTGGGAGCCGCTGATGTGGAGCATACATTTAGGTATATTGTATAGTGGATGTGTATTCTATAATGTTTAGTACATTAACTAGAATCATAATTTTTTTTTTACTTAAATCATCAACAGCTTTTACAACAGCACATAAAAAGCAAAAGGCCACAGGTGAAAAATGTAGCTACTCAGAAAGAGACAAATGCAGCAGGTCCTGATAATCGATCAAAAATCGTGCTTCTGGTAGATGCTTCACAGCAAACCGGTAAGGCAAGGGTTCTTCTGTACAGTATATGTTACTAATTTTTACCTGTTGTCATTCATTGGCTTAATAATTGTGGATTATACCACTTTTTATGATTCTAGACTTTCACCCATTCATTTATCCTGCCACTTTGTGAAATTCTCTGGAAAGGATGAAACAGTCCATGTCCTTAATGTTCTTTCAACTTGTTTGCTGGCTTATATACAATTTTGAACAGGGTTTGAGGTTTCTTCATAAAGCAGTGGAGCAGTTCAGAAATCAGAGATGGAATTTTTAAAAAGCTGTAGAAATATGAGGGAGTCATTTTGATAGAAATCATAATTCTACATGTTTTTATAACTAGATTAAAACCTTTTATAAAACATCCCTAATATTCTATAATATTTTTCTAGAAAGAATTAGCAAGTTTTTTTTTTTTTAATATATTTTTATTGATTTTTTACAGAGAGGAAGGGAGAGAGATAGAGAGTTAGAAACATCGATGAGAGAGAAACATCGATCAGCTGCCTCCTGCACATCTCCTACTGGGGATGTGCCCGCAACCCAGGTACATGCCCTTGACCAGAATCAAACCTGGGACCCTTCAGTCCGCAGGCCGACGCTCTATCCACTGAGCCAAACCGGTTTTGGCAATTAGCAAGTTTTTAATTCACATTTTAACATAGATCTAAACCAGACCTGTGAATACAAATAAGTAAAAATTTTGGATTAGTAGGATATAATTTTGTCATAAGTTTTTTAGAAGATGGTATAAACATTAAATAAAAAAGCTTTCTCCAGGTAATAGATAAGAATTAATAGTCTTATAATATTCTAGCTATTTTCCTATTTTCATCATACAATTCCACCTACTAGATACAGAGTAGATAGATGTCTATCACCTCTCACCCATTCTTATTAACACTAGTAAAAAAATCTTTGTTAATTATCCAAGGCCAAAAATTAGATCTGTTCAAAGGCACATTTGCTTTTTACCCCTCTATAGTCTCCACTCAAATGCAGTCTGGTTTAAAATAAATTAGGTGGCGCTACTTTCTTCCATTGGAATTTCATTTGTCTTTTGAACTCTATTCAATTATCCTTTTACAATTGCTTAGATCCATTAGGTGCAAGAAAGGATCTGAGAATCAGTTAAAAAACAATCTTGCTGACAGTACTTGCTGTGTGGTTTGTAGGGCATAAAACAGTGATATTAACAGATTCTGACAAATGGTTGGGGTGGCTGTGGAAAAGAATCACATGTAATATCTTACAAAGTTTTCTATGTTTGGTTGTTCCTAATCATAGTGAACTATTTATACATGATTTCAACCCTGGGACTCCTTGAAAAAATTATCTGTACTTTAGTTTTATCATTGTGACCACAAAATCAGCCTTCTGAAGTATCTATCCTATCTAATAAAAGACAAAAAGGGTAATTAACTGTACCACTGCTACGCTTCCCATTGGCTAATCAGGGTGATATGCAAATAAACTGCCAACAAAGATGGCGGCCAGCAGCCATGCAGCTGAAGCGAACATGAGGCTTGCTTGCTCCAGTGATGGAGGAAGCCAAGGTTCCCCGCCTGCCGCAGCCCGGCTCTGAGCCCGAAAGCAACAGTGTTTCAATTATAGAAGCTAAACAAACCCCAGATACCTGCTTTCAGCTGGCCGCGGCCATAGAGCTGGGAGCGCCAGTGACGGCAACAATGTTTCAATTACAGAAGGTAAATAAATCCCAGAATAAAAAGAAAAAAAGGAGAGGCTGGGAGCTTCAGTCGCCCTCCAGCCTGAAAACAGCCCTCAGCCCCTCACCCAGACTGGCCAGGCACCCCAGTGACGACCCCCACCCTGAAGGGGGTGTGACCAGCTGCAAACAGACATCAGCCTCTCACCCAGGCTGGCCAGGCACCCAAGCGGGACCCCCTCCCTGATCTGGGACACCCTTCAAGGCAAACCAGCCGGCCCCCACCCGTGCACCAGGCCTCTATCCTATATAGTAAAAGAGTAATATGCAAACTGGCCCTAACAGCAGAAAGACTGGGAATGACTGGTCACTATGACACACACTGACCACCAGGGGGCAGACGCTCAATGCAGGAACTGCCCTCTGGTGGTCAGTGCACTCCCACATGGGGGAGCTCTGCTCAGCCACAAGCCAGGCTGATGGCTGCCAGTACAGTGGTGGTGGTGGGAGCCTCTCCTGCCTCCTCAGCAGTGCTAAGGATGTCTGACTGCAGCTTAGGTCTGCTCCTTGCTGACATCCCCCGAGGGTTGCTGGGCTGCCAGACGGATGTCTGATTGACATCCTAGGCCCAATCCCCTGGGGAGCAGGCCTAAGCCAGCAAGTGGTCATCTCCAGAGGGGTCTCAGACTGCGAGAGGGCACAGGCCAGGCTGAGGGACCCCCCACGCGAATGCACAAATTTTTGTGCACCGGGCCTCTAGTATATATATAAAAGGCTAATAAGCTAAGTGTCTGACCATCCGACTGGTCACGGTGACGTGCACTGACCACCAGGGGGCAGACACTCAATGCAGGAGCTGCTGAGCTGCAGTGACTTAGCAGTGGTGGTTCTCGGGTGATGCACCCTGAAACGAGAGAGGAGGGAGCCCGCACGATTCCACCTTTGACCATGGGTTATGTTGTTGTTGGGGCACTGTCGGCCCCAAATCTGGTTTACTGCACACTTGTGTTTGCATTCCACACCCTGTATGATAGCAACTTTGCAGAGTGCCCTCTTGCATCCGGGACCCCCTGGGGGATGTTGGAGAGCTGGTTTCAGCCCGATCCCTGCAGGCCACACTGAGGGATCCCACCTGCCGGAGAGATCCCACTCACTCTGCAGATGCCAGGGAGGGACCACAGGAGGTTGGCTCCAGGCCATGTCTGGCCCATCTTGCCCAGTCCCACCCCACTGGCCACCTTCTAATTAATTTCCTTTCAATGTGCATGAATCCATGCACTGGGTCACTAGTAAGAATTAGAAAATGAAAAGGTGAAGGTATAATTTGAGTAGATTTTATCTTCTGCCAGTATTTTTATTCTTTAGTTTGTTTTCAAATTCTGAGGATTGTGCATTCTGTGTTTTTATTCTTTAGTTTGTTTTTAATTTCTTAGGATTAACTGGTATCAATCAGAGGTGGAATGAAATACTATAGTTTAAAAGAATTTGTAACAGATTTTTACTCTTGAATACAAACTTTTATTATTTAACTAGAGGCCCAGTGCATGAAATTTGTGCACGGGGGGGCGGGGTCCCTCAGCCCAGCCTGCATCCTCTCCAGTCTGGGATCACTGGCCCTAACCGCTAGCCTGCCTGCCAACATTATTGCCCCTAACTGCCTCTGCCTGCTGGCCTGATCGCCCCCTAACTACTTCCTGATGGCCTGATCGCCCCCTAACTGCTCCCCTGCTGGCCTGATTGCCCCCTAACTGCTCCCCCCTGCCGTCCTGATCACCCTCTAACTTCTCTCCCCTGCCAGCCTGATCGCCCCTAATCACCTCTGCCTCGGCCCCTGCCACCGTGGCTTTGTCCAGAAGGACATCCAGAAGATGTCTGGTCTAATTAGCATATTATCCTTTTATTAGTATAGATAAGACTTTAGTAAGTTGGGTACATATAAGATAATATATAAAAGTGAATCGCATTTAAGTGTGCCGCCAACAAACAAAATTTAAGAAAAGATGCTATTTATAATAGCAATAAAAATATTATTTCTTGCAATGAACCTTATATAACATGTATCAGACATTTATGCAGGAAACTATAACGTTATTATAGGACGTTGTATTAAAAAATCTAAATATTAGGTTCATTCAGGATGATTTGATATTGCAAATGTTATTTGACCCTAAGTTAGCCTGTAGATTCAATGCAGTTCCAATTAAAATTTCAAAAGAAATTTTTGGGGAACTTTCAAACTAATCTATCCTATCTAATAAAGAGGGAATATGCTAATTGACTCTCACGCCGTTGCAAAGATGGCAGCGCCCACAGCCAATAAGGAGGGAATATGCTAATTGACTGCCCCGCCCTCAAAGATGGCGACGCCCACAGCCACAAAATGGTGGGGCTCAGTCCCCTCAGCCCCGCTGGAATGGCAGGTGCACGGCAAGGCAGGGCCCTCCCCACTTGCCAGCCTTTGGAGTCCCCCAGTCCCCTCAGCCCCCCAGCTGCCCAGGGCCGGCCTGAGGCACAGGCAAACCTCAGGTGGTGGCTGCCCAGATGCCCAGCCGCCCAGGGCCACTCAAGACTCAGGTAACCTGGGTAGGCCGAGTCTTGCGCTGCCGGCAGTGGCAGCAGCAGCGGTGTCATGGGGGGTTGCCTTTCCCTGATCACTGGGGTGATCTCTCGCCCCCAAAGGCTCCCAGGCTGTGAGAGGGGGTAGGCCGGGCTTAGGGACCCCCCCCTCCAGTGCATGAATTTATATGCACTGGGCCTCTAGTCTACACTAATAAAAGACAGAGATGCTAATTGACCGTACCTTGGCTATGCCCAAGCCAAACCCACTAGCCAATTAGAGTGACTGTATGCAAATTAACCCAACCAGATGGCGGCCAGCAGCCACGGAGCTGGAGCAAGCAGGAGGCTTGGTTGCCTGGGCGATGGAGGAAGCCAAGCTTCCCGCTCCGGCTATGCCCTCCACTCATGGCAACAAGTTTTAATTATAGAAGACAAATAAATGCCAGATACCTGCTTCTAGCCAGCCTCCACTGGGAGCTGGGGTGGCTGGGGGCCGTGGCCAGCCTGCAAACAGCCATTAGCCCCTTACCCAGGCTGGACACACCATCATGAGGTGAGTATCCCCACTAGGGGGCTTAGCCAGCCTGAAAACGGCCCTCAGCCCCTCACCCAGACTGGCCAGGCACCCCAGCAGGACCCCCCATCCTGCGGGGGCTGTGGCCATCCTGCAAACAGCCATCATCCCCTCACCCAGGCTGACCAGGCACCCCAGTGGGGACCCCCACCCTGATCCAGGACACCCTTCAGGGAAAACCAGCCAGCCCCAACCCATGCACCAGGCCTCTATTCTATATAGTAAAAGGGTAATATGCCTCCCAGCACCGGGATCAGCGGAGCCGTGAGGCCTCCCGGACTGGGATCAGCGTGACAGGGGGCAGCGTCCAAACCCCCTGATCGCCCTGTGGCTCTGTGTGTGACGGGGCAGGGCCACAACCTCCCTATCCGCCCTGCTCTGTTCCTGACAGGGGAAGGCACCCCAATCCCCTGATCGGCCCTGCTCTGTGCCTGATAGGGGGGAGCTTCCCAACCCCCTGATCACCCTTCGGCTCTGTGTGTGACAGGGTGCGGCGCCCCAACCCCCCCACTCCACGGGCCCTGCTCTGTGTGTGATGGGGTAGAGCCATAACCTCCCCATCGGCCCTGCCCTGAGTGTGAGAGAGGCGGCGCCCCAACCCCCTGATCGGCCCTGCTTTGTGGGTGATAGAGGGTGGCGCCCCAACCCCCTGATCCGCCCTGCTCTGTGTGTGACAGGGGGCGGTGCCCCAACTCCCCTATCGGCCCTACTCTGTGAGTGACGGGGGAGCTCCCAAACCCCCTGATTGACCCTGCTCTGTGCGTGACAGGATACGGAGCCCCAACCTCCCTGATGGGCCCTGCTCTGTGCGTGACAGGGGGCAGCGCCCCAGCCCCCTGATTGGCCCTGCTCTGTGCATGACGGGGTGGCACCGCAACCTCCCCATCGACCCTGCCTTGAGTGTGACAGGGGGCGGTGCCCCAACCCCCCAATCGGCCCTACCCTGAGCGTGACTGAGGGTGGCATCACAACCTCCCAATCCGCCCTGCTCTGTGCATGACAGGGGGCGGCGCCCCAACTCCCCAATCGGCCCTGCTCTGAGCCCGACCAGGGAGGGGCTGCACCTAGGGATTGGGCCTGCCCTCTGCCACCCGGGAGCAGGCCTAAGCCAGCAGGTCGTTATCTCCCGAGGGGTCCCACACTGCGAGAGGGCACAGGCCGGGCTGGGGGACCCCCGCCCCCGAGTGCACAAATTTTTGTGCACCGGGCCTCTAGTCCTATATAATAAAGAGGTAATATGCAAATTGACTGTCATGCCCTCGCACAAGATGGCCGCCTCCATGTGGTCACAAGATGGCCAGCAGGGGAGGGCAGTTGGGGGTGATTGGGCTGGCAAGGGAGCAGTTAGGCATCTATCAGACTGGCAAGGGAGTGGTTAGGGGGTGATAAGGCAGACAGGGGAGTGGTTAGGAGGTGATCAGGCAGGCAGGCAGGCGAGTGATTGGGAGTCAGCAGTCCCCAATTGTGAGAGGGATCCCACAGGGTCAGGCCTGAACTGGCAGTCAGATATCCCCTGAGGGGTCCCAGATTAGAGAGGGTGCAGGCTGGGCTGAGGGAACACAGCCCCCAAGTGCACAAATTTCGTGCACCGAGCCTCTAGTATATATATAAAAGCCAAAGCGACTGGTCACTATGACATGCACTGATTACCAGGGGGCAGACTCTCAATGCAGGAGCTTCCCCCTGGTGGTCAGTGCGCTCCCACAGCCAACCTCCTGTGGCCATCCAACCTCCCACGGTTCCTACCCCCAGCTGGCCAACCTCCTACGGTCCCTTCCCCCGCCAACCAACCTTTTGTGGTCCCTCCCCCTGCTGGCCAGCCTCCCATGGTACCTCCCCTATCGGGACTGGACGAGATGGCCCGGATCGTTGGCCAGGCAAAGGACCCCACCAGTGAACGAATTTTTGCACCAGATCTCTAGTTATAAAATAAAGGAGTACTGGTCTGTACACACCACATCGGGGATCAAGCCCGCAACCCCGGCACGTGCTCTTACCAGGAATCAAACCATGACCTAGTTTGTAGATCACCGCTCAACCACTGAATCGGGCGAGAAACTTTCATATGTACACATGCATTCATTTGTCTGTCTAAGAATGTTGATAGCAGTATTAATCATAGCAAGCCCCCAAACAACCCAAGTGTCCCATCAGTGGTACAGATGATAAGTACATTATAGTATAGTCTTACACAGTGACATTAATGAATTACAGTCACATCCATCAGAATCTCAAAACCAATGTTGAGGGTATGGTGGGGTGGGTAGCAAGTCCGAGAAACATGGGCAGTATGATTTTATTTTTATAAAGTTAAAATTGCAAAATTACATGGTTTATGTTTTAGGAATACAGAAATTTGTGGTAAGTATTTTTAAAAGGGAGGAAATAATAAACACAGAATTTAGAAAAAAGGGCAGCCTCTGAGGGAGGAAGAGGATGCAGTGGTGGAGGGGGCATGCAGTTGACCTCAAAGGATTGGGTGATGTTCTCTTTGTTAAATGGGTAATGGGGGGATGGTTTTATTCTCTTCATAATAAACATGTTATAAACCAACTTGTCAGGAATATCTTATGTTTTTATAATCTTTCAAAAAAGGTTTTACCATTTACGAAATTAGATGTCTTTATTTTCTTAAAACCTTAGTGATAATTTAACAATTTATTAACTTGATCCTCACAACAAGTTGTTACACTTTTCTTGCCTTGTAGATTTCCCGTCAGATATCGCTAACAAGTCTCTCTCAGAGAGCTCTGCCCCGATGCTCTGGAAGTCCAAAGGCAGGAGGAGAAGAGCATCCCACCCTACTGCCGAATCTTCTAGTGAGCAGGGAGCTAGTGAAGCTGACATTGACAGTGATAGTGGCTACTGCAGTCCCAAACACAGCAACAACCAGCCCACTGCAGGGGCTTTACGAAATCCTGATTCTAGCACCATGAATGTATGTGACATTGCTTTGATTTCTTTATCAGTCATCTATGTCAGTATTGCTCTTATGTCCTCTGCTAAAGCTTAAGTACCTACTTTCATTAACAATCCTATAGTAATAAGATGGTCATAAACATCTTGTATATTTTGTTATTAATATGAAAAATATTCTTTTATGGATGAGTATTTTTTCTGAGATTGTAATAAGCATCCTTCACACTAGACTAGATTCGGAATCATTTTGTAAGGAATGTGGTATTGATTTTGAGCAGAAAATAATTGTCTCCTTTTTGTTTCTATTTTTAGCATGTGGAATCATCTATATGTACAGGTACTTATTTTTCTGCATAGTGTTTTTGCTATAATTTCTTCTTTGTCTATGTCAAAGTTTTGCTTTTAAGCATTAACCTTGCTGATGTTGCAAAAATTAGAAATCTTTCAAAGTGATGCACATTAAATACAAAGTACAGTCTTGCTGATAAAATGGAGAATATGCCAGCCAGAAGTATTCTGCAGATGACATATTACTGGGAACTGGAATACCACTTAAAATTTATGGAAAATTTTCCACTATTACATTTACAGTGACCGAATTTCAGTACATAAAGTTAAGGAGCAATTTAGCTTTTGACATCTGTAAATAAATCATATTTTAAATCTTATTTGTTACAGGTAGTGTAAATTGGTCCAGTGTAACTTGCCAGGCAACTCAGAAAAAACCTTGGATGGAAAAAAATCAGACATTTTGTAGAGGTGGAAGGCAGATTGAACAAAGAAATTCACAGGTAATTTGAATTAGGTCAGACGAATTTGATTAGGGTCAGATGAATTATTTTAAATGGTATAGTGATTTTGAAGGTCAATGTCCTTAATTTTTAAAGATGTATATTAAATTACTTAAAAGTAAAATATATCTCTAAGCTTAAAATGGTTTAGCCAGTAAAACGATTCAAGTAATGAAACAAAATGGCAAAATGTTGAAAGTAGGTGGTGTGTATGCATGAGCATATATTGTACCATTCTCTACTTTTCTGTGTTTAAGAAATATTTTTTGCTATTTCATACTTTTAAAATAGAATACTATTTAATCCTGCTTCACCTGCTGACTTAGCCATATAAATATTTTAAAGAATTTTAATGCCTTAAATATTGATCCTTTGAACTTCAGGCAGAACTGCAGCCTTGTCCATGTGACTTTGCTTGACTATAGACACCATATGCCACACTCTGCTTGTGCGCTGCCATAGTGATGAATGCCTCTTCCTAATGCAGCCATGTTGGGCAGCTTCCTGATCTTGGGGAGCGGGATCTAGCTGCAGTAGGGTGGAGCAAGTTATATACTGCCACAAACTTCCAATATTGTCTTCCTGCATTGGTTGTCTATGAAATCAGGGACTATATATTGGTCAGTATTTATCCTTTTTAATTTTAGATAGACTTCTTGTTTTCCTTAAATCTAGTCAAGGAATTAAGGTTATGTGAATAAATCTGTGGATGAACTGAAATAAGAGTAAGTTACTACCAGATCAAGTTGACCAAATACTTTCCTGTTTTTGTCTCCCTAAAATGAAGTACTTCAGATGTTCCTAACTTTAATTAGGGTGTTAGGAAAACAAGCAGAATAATTCCCTCTTCCCTATGGTTGTTGCAAAAATGAGTTGTTATTGTTTGTGGCAGGCTTGTGAAGAAGTCTAGCTTTATTTGATTAAAAATAAAAGCTTGCCGGGGTTCTTGTCCCAGCATCAAGAAGGGTTCAGGAATCTGGAGAAGTAATGCTTAGATGACATAGGAATCCAGAGACTAATAAAGAGTCCGGAGACAAAATATAATTTTTGAAAGGCACTGGCGGTCAGAGGAGCTTAGCTAAAGGAGCTAAGTTCTAAAGTCTTAAGTCTAAGGCCTTAGGTTCTCTCCAACCCCAGGACCCCATGCTTTTTATTAACACAACTTGTCCTGAGGCGAGGCAGAGATATACACTTCAAAGGGTCAGGGTTTGGTACAGAGTCCATTGTCAGAATGGGGGAATTAGCCTACGGCTGTTCAGGTATTTGGCCAGTTGGAGGTGATAACATGTAGATTGAGATGCCTTTTAGCTGTCTGGCAGCCACAACCAATTTAATGTATCCTATTCAGGTTTGGGGAAATGCCTTCAGCCATTCCCAACAGGTGACTACATGTGTGACTCAACTCTGTTGTGTCCCCAAGTCTCATCAACCTTTTGATGAAACTCTTGAAATTATGACATGCTGGAATTGGTCTCGGCAAAGCTAAAACAAGAATTATTTAAATAGATTAGATAAACAAAATCTATACAATGTTTAGTCAAGTACTGAAACTTTATATTTAAAGTGTATCTGCTAGACCTGCCAATCTTGCAGCCTCAGTACTTACTCAGTACAGTTTGGTATCAGTAGCCCACTGGAGAGGAAATCCTATACTTATAAAAAACAAACATGCAAATTGACCGTGCTTTTGCTACGCCTTAAGCCACGCCCACCAACCAATCAGAGCAACTATATGCACATTAACCCAACCAAGATGGCGGCCGGCAGCCATGGAGCTGGAGCGAGCAGGAGGCTTGCTTGCTCCCGTGATGGAGGAAGCCAAGCTTTCTGCAGGCCTCTGCTAAAGGCAACAAAGTTTCAATTATAGAAGGTAAATAAATCCCAGAATAAAAAAAGAAAAAGAGAGGCTGGGAGCTTACGTCACCAGGGTGCTCAGTCCCTCACCCAGACTGGTCAAGCACCCCAGTGGGGACCCCCCACCCTAAAGCGTGTGTGGCCAGCCTGAAAACAGTCATCAGCCCCTCACCCAGGCTGGCCAAACCTCCATGGGGTGAGGGTCCCCACTGGGGTGGACATCCTCTGAGGAGTCCCACACTGCAAGAGGGCATAGGCTGGGCTGAGGGACCGCCCCCCCCAGGTGCACAAATTTTTGTGCACTGGGCCTCTAGTAATACTGATATGGACAAATATTTCCTCTCTACCTCAAAACTGGTGAGAAATGGAAAAAGAACAACAAAAAAGAAAATTATGAAAATACATATGGTTTAAGTTTTATTTTGTATCTCTTCATTCCAAAAGAACTAGAGATAGATGTTGAACAAAGTGTTTTCTTTTCTACTTCTGATGCTTTGTCATACTTTTCTTAAGCATGTTACTTGTTTGATTTTTGACATGCAAATTCTTTTTTTTTTTCCTTTTAAGTTAAAATATTTTCCCCTTTTGCAATCTCTGATTATTTTTAGGCTTAAAATGTCTTTCAGAAATCAAATATTCACTTGTATTTTCTGCTACTTTTCAGTAGACTAATGTTTCAAGACTTTTAAAAATCCAAGATTAAGTTTGGTGAATGGTACCATGTATTGATGTAGATTTTCAAAGTATTTAACCAATTGTCCTAACATTGTAATCCATCCTATTCTCTGATTTGCACTGTCCTTTTAATCATTTGCTAATTTCTTATGGTTTTTTTTCTTTTTTTAAATTTATTTTTTATCTTCATTAGTGAAAGTATTACAGATGTCCACTTTTTTCTCCATTGTCCCCTTCAAGCCCACACCCAGCCCCCTACCCCAGACCTTCACCACATTATTGTTTGTGTCCATGGGTTATGCATATACGCATACAAGTTCTTTGGTTAATCTCTTTCCACCCATCCACACATTCTCCTCTGCCTTCCCTCTGTCTGTTCTATGCTTCTGTGTCTCTGAATAATTTCTTATGTCTTAAGTGCTATCTCTGGGCTTTTTGTTTCATGTATCAGAAATCTGCACCTGTATCATGGCATGGTATTTTAACTGTTGTATCATTTGATGATTTTTAATATATATTTTTTTAGATTTTTATTCTTTATTTAAATACTAGAGGCCCGGTGCACAAAAATTTGTGCACTCGGGGGGGAGAGGGGGGTCCCTCAGCCCGGCCTGTGCCCTCTCACAGTCTGGGATCCCTCAGGAGAAAACGACCTGCTGGCTTAGGCCTGCTCCCGGGTGGCAGAGGGCAGGCCCAATCCCTAGGTGCAGCCCCTGGTTGGACTCAGAGCAGGGCCTATTGGGGAGTTGGGGCACCGCCCCCTGTCATACACAGAGCAGGGTGGATCTGGAGGTTGCGATGCCACCCCTAGCCATGCTCAGGGTAGGGCCGATTGGGGGGTTGGGGCACCGCCCCCTGTCACACTCAAGGCAGGGTCAATAAGGAAGTTGCAGTGCTACCCCCTGTCACGCACAGAGCAGGGCGGATCAGGAGGTTGGGGCACTGCCCCCTGTCATGCACAGAGCAGTGCCCATCGGGATTGGGGCTCCATACCCTGTCACACACAGAGCAGGGTTGATCGGGGGTTGGGAAGCTCCCCCCTGTCACGCACAGAGCAGGGCCGATCAGGGGGTTGAGGAGCTCCCCACTGTCACTCACAGAGCAGGGCCCATCAGGGGGGTTAGGGCACCACCCCTCGTCACACACAGAGCAGGGCTGATCAGGGGGTTGGGGCGCCGCCACTGTCACACTCAGGGCAGGGCCGATGGGGAGGTTATGGCTCACCCCGTCACACACAGAGCAGGGCCCGGGGGGGGGGGGGTTGGGGCGCTGCCCTCTATCACCCACAGAGCAGGGCCAATCGGGGTTGGGGCGCTGCCCCCTGTCACACACAGAGCAGGGCCGATCAGGGGGTTAGGGCGCTGCACCCTGTCACACACAGAGCCGCAGGGCGATCAGGGGCTTTGGGCGGTTTGCCCTGAAGGGTGTCCTGGATCAGGGTGGTGGTCCCGCTTGGGTGCCTGGCCAGCCTGGGTGAGGGGATGATGGCTGTTTGCATCTGGTCACACACCCTTTAGGGTGGGAGTCCCCACTGGGGTGCCTGGCCAGTCTGGCTGAGGGGCTGAGGGCCGTTTTCAGGCTGACGGGTGACTGAAGCTCCCAACCGCTCCTTTTTTTCTTTTTTTTTTTTTTTTTTATTCTGGGCCAGCTTTAGCTCTGAGGCCTTGGCTGCTGAAAACAGGTTTCTGGCCTTTGTTTACCATCTGTATTTGATACAGTGTTGCGGTCCGGCTGGCTGAAGCCCGGCTGAGTAAAGCAGGTTTCTAGGGTTTTGTTTAGCTTCTATATTTGCAACATAGTTGCTTAGAGTTGCAGCTGAGAGGCCGGCAAGTCAGGCGGGGAACGTTGGAGTCCTCCGTCACTGAAGCAAGCAAGCCTCCCTGTTCGCATCAGCTGCCTGGCTGCCGGCCGCCGTCTTGGCTGGTAGTTAATTTGCATATCACCCTGATTAGCCAATGGGAAGGGTAGCGGTCGTACGCCAATTACCATGTTTCTCTTTTATTAGTGTAGACTAGAGGCCTGGTGCACGAAATTCATGCATGGGTAGGGTCCCTAGACCTGGCCAGCCATCAGGGCTGGTTGGGGCCTCCCAGATGTCAGCTGGGGCCTCCCCCGGCTGCTGGCTGGTGCCTTCCTTCATTCTGTGCTGCCCCCTGGTGGTCAGCACATAATCATAGCAAGCAATCAAACTCCTGGTATCCCTGTTGAACTCCCACGGGAACACTTTGCATGTTAGTCTTTTATATATATATATAAACCAGAGGCCCAATGCACAAAAATTAAAGTAAGAGTAGGCCTTCCTTTCCCCGGCTGCCAGTCCCAGCTTCCCTCTGGCACCCAGGACCTGGGCTTCCCTCCTCCTGCCACTGGCAGGCACCCGGGACCCGGGCGGCTTCCCTCTGGCCCCAGCTTTGTCCGGTCTAATTAACATATTACCCTTTTATTATTATAGATAGATATTTTTATTGATT